GGGGGGAGAGATCTCTTCCTTCTGCCTCCACTCACAGTTTGAGGAAATACAGGTTGTAGAAACACAGTTATTAGGAAGTGGCCCTTATTCTCAAAGGCAGTCTGTTCCACAGCTATGAAGCAGTAGATCCTAGTTTCACATCGAATGTTCCTGGTTCCAAAGCTCTGTCTTTAATCTGTGGGGCCTCCAGAAGTCAGAACACCTAGCAGCTTGTATCCCAGTGATCAGAAATGGTCAGTCAGGGGCAGAGATCAGAGAATACTGTAATAATTTCACCAACTTCCCTTGCTCTATTCTTGGGACCTCTGCCAACATATTCTATGCCACACACACTTCTGGGACCTAGGGAACTCCTCTCAACCCCATAGCTTGGGTAGACTGGGAGGTGCAAATTTGGGGAATTGCATTTGCTGGTCTGGGCACACAGTGTAGAAAGGCAGGTTCTGCCCTCTGGGACCTGACCAGGGGCAGAAGGCTGGTTCTGGAAGAATGGAAATGTCCTCTCAGATGAGCTTGGACAAGGCGATGCCTGTGTGGGCAGTAATAATTAGCTTCCTTGAGAAGCCAGCCTTTGAGCCACATTGCAAGGACTATAGTTTCCTAGTGGCTGGGAGGAGTGGGGAGATTGAGGGAAAAGCATGAAAAGAACAGTAACAGATAATTGTGGGACAAAAACTATGAGGTGGCTATGATTTTCCTTGCCTTATAGAGGGAAACCCAATTCCACATAGATTCTTTGTTCCTTTGAGTGAAGTGCATGCAGTTTTCTAAGATATTTTTTTTTTTTCTTTTTTCTTTGGTTGTTTTATCACCTTGCAAATGGAGTGAAACCCCATGTATTGCACCCTGGAGAGAAAGAATTACCTGAGAGAAAAAAATCACTGGTGAGCTGCAGGTGGAGTTCAGTGGTAGAGCTCTTGCCTAGCATGTGTGAGGGCCCAAGTTTGATCTGCTATGTAAAAAAAAAAAAAACAAAAAACAAAACAAAAAAACACTGATGTTATGGTTTTTGTCAAGGCAGCTTATCTTAAGAGGAACTCAATTATATGTTTTGCTAATGAGAATGGGTGGTAGCAAGGCAATGCACATTTATTTTTGCATAAGTCAGTGAAACTAGCTTTAATCTAGACTCACTTCCATGAGTCTCAGGAACCTCATTAGATAAATTTTTTAATGTCCTGACATTTATGGGTTTCTGTGAAATATTTTATTCTAGAGAATGGTCAGTTTCTTCAGGGTGGGGGTGGGGTCAATAAACAAGGGTGGCTGGGCAGAACCAGCAGCTTAGGAGATGACCAGATACACTGGGAAGGGCCTTGTTCTGCATGGCCTTGTGGGACAGAAATGTTTGTAATGATCTTCTCCCTAGGTCTCACAATTTTTGAAAGAGAAATTATTTTTTTTTAATTTAGAAAAAATTTCATGACATTAGATGATTCAGATAAGTGTATGAGTATTCTTTATATACACACATATACAGAGGTGCACATACATTTATTTTATACTTAAATAAAACATTAGATATATGGATACATTCACCTAATGTATTTATTATTCAAGATATAATGTATGTTTTATTAAATGTATATGTATATATGTATATATATATATGGCATATTACATTTTACTTCTTTAAGTATATGAATAAGTCCAGTAAATCAGTGGCTCTTGTCCTTGGCTTGGCATTAGAATCACCTGGGGAGTTTTGGTGACTCAGGATTCCTAGGCTATACAGACAGGGAAGTTCCAGACAGGTGGGTAGAGCCCTAGCTTCCTTATTATTTTCAAAAGTTCCAGTTGAGATATAGCACCCTGGACATCATTGAGGTTAAAACATTCTTTTCAAGATGTCATGATTTAAAAAGTAGAAAAGCAGGGCAATATGCTAATGAATCAGATGATCACATGAACTCCAAACTCTAAATATTTTAAGAATTTAATGCATTAATTAATTCAGCAAATAATCATTAAGCAGACATAATGTAAAAATGTCAGTGATAATTACTACAAATAGAAAAACAAAGGGAGAGAAGACAATGGAGAGTGTGTGTGTGTGTGTGTGTGTGTGTGCGTGTGTGTGCACGCCCCTATAGACATATATTTGAACTTGAGCAAGCATGCTCTGCTAGATTTTCCACAGAGTCCTCAGGGACCTATGCATTATAACCTGCTAGCAATAAACTTTAATGGAAAGACAGGACTACTGAATTAATGATAGATAATTAATCTTGGCTATTTTGGAAAAGTWAGATTAATTAGACCCTATCTTCATGCTAACCATGAAAATTAATCCAGTGAATTTTTTAAAAAGTTAAATTAAAAAATTAAGCCATAAAAATGAAGAAAATAATCATCTGCTTTACAACTGTGAGAAGAGGAATCATCTATATTTGAAAGTAATAGAAAAGTCACAAAGCAAAAACAAAAAAAAAGTTTGGTGCCCTCAATATATAATCTTCCATTTATTAGCACATCAAAAGAGGAATTAAAAGCAAACTAAACAAATTGGACAAAACACTCAACACCTGAGAAYTGAGCAATGGATGTGAAGAAAGAGTTCATAATCATAGAAATAAAATAGCTCAAAGCACATGGTTAAAATTGACCTCATTTATAACAAAGCCAACAGGTACCATCTTTCCATATTGACTACCTGGTTCATTTTAAGACATGAGACTGCCCAGTGCTTTTCCAGGTGTGGTGGGTGGAAACCGTCTCGCACTGTGAGGGAAGGCATATGAATCATGGCAACATTTCTGGGCAATATGATCGGCAATGTCTCAAGTATGTTGTGTTCATTCACATCCTAACACGGAAATGATAAGAAATGCAAATAACAATAGCTAACATTTAAGTGGGTGTTTATTATTCTTCAGTCACTTGTAAGAGTAATGCATGTAATTTATGGTCAGCTCTTAAGATAGATAGTATTGCTGTCTCCTTGTTTGGACAAAGAAATTGGGGCAGAGAGAGGATAAGTGACATGYCTGGGGTTCGTTCACTGGTAAAAGAAAATGGAGATTCCAGTCTTTCCCCGCAGGTCCGAGAGGCTGCGCTCCAAAACACTGAGTCACATGCGAGAGTCAGGTSTCGTGAGGATGGTCATGGAGTTATTTCACAGTGTAATTCATCTTGTAAAGAATCATATGTCCATCAGAAGGAATTTTGGGTAGCAATTAAAATGATGTTAACAAAGAGAACAGCCAACAGCCTGATACAGGAAAATGCTCACTGCATAATATTAAATGGAAGTGCAAGATATGAAATTAATTAAATACTTTTAACTATTTAAAATACACAGAAAAATAGTTAAAATGCTAAAATATTATTTTATATTGCTTTCTTTCAGTCTTCATTTTGTAAATGTTCTGTGTTAGGCACATATTGCTTTAAAAATCAGAAAAACATTTAAAGAAAGAAGAAACTTAACAGTTACAAAAAAATCAGAAAAAAACGAAAAAATCCTACATAACAGAAATTTAATATTTATAGTCTCCTATATTTATTTTATTTATACTTGATAGTATATAAATGACATTTCTCAGAATAGTTCTTTTTCTGGAGATGAATTCATTGTTTAATAAAATATTAACCTCTTAATTAATACCTACAGCTTAACAAGTTCATTCAAAGCTTAAWGCACACACAACCACACACACAGAGCTTCGTGAATATCAGCTATTTTTGGTATAATAGGGTTCTATCATGCTTCATATTGAAACTAATAGCTAATCAGGATCTCATAACTTGCTGTGTGCGTGGCACACACCCCTAATCCCAGGGTTTCTGGAGGTTGAGACAGGAGAATTGCAAGTTGTGAGGCCAGCCTTAGCAATTTAGTGAGGCACTGTATCAAAAAAAAAAAAAAATTAAAATGGGCCTGGAGAAGTGGCTTAGTGACAAAGTACCCCTGGGTTTACATCCTAGGACAGGGGGAAAAAATCAGAATCTCATAATTTTACCCATTTGTAGACCTTGTTAAAAAACCTCAAATCTTAAAAAAAAGAAAGAAAGAAAGAAATTGGTGCCCTTTACAAGGTTACGTCAGCCTTCACCAGAGAAATAACATAAAGGAAACAACACTTATCATTCTACCCAAGATACAAGAATAGACTGAGTTAATGATAAAAGGTGTTGGTGGGGGGGAATGGAAGAAATTTCAAGCATAAAACTGTTCTAATTTAATTATGAACAGTGGGTACTTTCCATACATATTTATTCCTTTCGCCTTTACATTATTGATGTGTAGCTCTTGGAAATTCCACCAAATGTTTGGTGGTGTTATAGGTAAGGATTGTTATAATAGTTCAGCAGCTTCATTATTAAACTTTTTCTAGGATTCAGGAATTAATAGCTCCCCTTTTTGTTTAGGATGGGAGGTGAGTGGAAGTTGGTAAAAGGAACATTATTCTAGGTGAGAGGCTTCCATGTACCCAAAAGTCTTCATAAATATCAGACAGCTTCATTATGTAATACCTAATACCTCTGGAGGTGAGCCTCTTTAGCTTCGTTTTGATAACAAGCAAACAGGCTATAAGACTTTTAAATACCTTGCCAAAACTTGGAGAGCTCCTCAGGCCTGGGTCAAATTAGACAGCCAGCCAGGATTTGTGTGTCCGTGAGACTAAGCTCTTTAGATCACACTGTGTTCCCTCCAGCTGGTAGGTCTCTGGGGTGGAAGCAGCGGGGTTTTGGGTAAACAAGGGACATAGGGTTATTTATGAAATAGTTGGACTTGGTGAATGGTCTCCACTGAGGAAGAATTTGCTGACATTCTGCTTTCTAAATTTTGTAATTAAAAGGGTAAGGGTCATTAATTGCCTTGACATTTCGTTAGTTCTCCATGGCTGGAACTTCTGAGAACTGGTGACTACTTTAAGGGATTTGAAAATATCTGGGCTATGTTTAAACATCTGCTGTCACATGATTTTTTAAAAGCCTTCCTGAGACAGGTATGTTTTAATTAAGTTTTTGGCATAAGCTATCTTATTCTGTTTCAGATAAACTATTTGATACGGAGTCCTAAACATGCATTGTGGAGGATTATTCCTGACTCTTTTGCTTCTTATGGTTACACGCGACTCAGGTAAGTTGTGAAAAAGAAAATACTTTGTTAGTAATCTGGAGGGAATGTCAGGATTTTGTCTTTTTTTGGGGGGGGGGKGGAGGTGGTTACTAAAAATGCTGAGTTTACCAAAATGTATTGATTTAAAATTCTACTTTAGAAAGTTGACAACTATTTGATGTCTCTGAGGTAAAGAATCAAAGATCCATAGCAATGGAATCAAGTAAAAAAGATCCATGCGATAATATTTTTTTTTTAAAAGGACTGAGTTCTCCAAGCTTGTAAAAACTTGTGTCCTGAAATAAATTACATTTGAGAAGAAACTTTGGTTCATGTTATTTGAAACTGAGGAGGAAGCAACTATCTTTATTATGGATTTTGTTTAGGAAGTTTTGTACACACCAATTCCTTCCTTAGAGGGATGCAAAGATTCATCGGATTCTTTAGGAAATAATAAGTACCTTATAGATGTATAAACAATATCTGGGCTAGAAAGAATAAACAAGAACGAGGCGGGTTAGATGAGGGAGACAAGTAGGTTTCTAGGTGGATACGATTTCTAAACTTATGAACAACGATTACTTGGAAGTCCCCTCTGCCTCAACCCTCTTTGAAAAGAATTCTGAAACCCCATTCTTTGGAGAAGAGTTCCATGATTGGATGGCAAGTCTTCCCTCAGGCTTTGGAGGGTAAAGTGGGAGCATATTGTCTAGGAGAAGGGAACACCTACTTTGGTAAATTATTGCTGAAGGTCTAGCTGAGTTAGTAGATACTTTCAAATAACGTAGGTCCAGTCTTGAGGATGGTCACTTAAATGGGTCCTCTATTGTTGTGATGGCACCAAGGCATACAATGCAGTACTTTCCAAACACTAAAGGAACAAAGTAGACATTCTCTAGAGAATAATCTGTCAGAAAGTACTGAGTGGAAAAGCAAGGTGCAGGGAGAGGAGTGTGCATGGATCCCACGTTCTGTTCAAATGCACTAACAAACTTGCTCCCAGTTACTATGAAACATGTTCATCAGCTTTGCCTTGCTGTGACTAAAATACATGACAAGAACAACTTAGGGGAGGAAAAATTTGTTTGGGGGTCACGGTTTTGGAGGTTCAGTCCATGGCCTTTCCATACTTCACCACTCTGTGCTGAAGAAAGAAGCAAGGGATAAAATATGTTCCCCCAAAGCATGCCTTCAGTGACCTACTTCCTCCAACCCCACCATCCAAGCCTACAGTGGCCTTCCAATTATTAATCCATAAAAAGGATTAACCCTCTGATGAGATTATAGCTCTTACACTCTAATTACTTCACCTCTGGACATTTTTTTTAAGTTATTTATTTATTTATTTATTTTTAGTCATACATGACAGTAGAATGCATTTTGTATATAATACATACATGGAATGTACATACATCAAACATATTGCCTATCATGTTGCATTGCCCAACATGAGCTTTTTTGGGGTCACTTCTTATCCAAACCATAACAGGATGTTTCAGAACACAAACACAACTCTAAGATCTGCTGTGTCGTGTTGCCAGAATCCCAGTTTCCTGTCTTGACCTTCYATGAGCGGGTAACTGGGGGCAGACATAGCACTATTCTACCTGTAGAAGTCACTTAACTTAGTTGAAGTCAGATGACAAAATCTTATGCTTGTCCAAACTCAAGACTGTTCCCAAGGATACAGGTTATTGGGATTGCTGGATTCATAGACCCTGCTCATGGAAAAATGGGAATACTGTTCTTAGACCTTGAACTCTACTTACCTGAACTTCACTCATTTCTACAAACACTGTTCCAAACAAGCATTATATTTCTTCAAATGATAACTATTTCCTAAGAGGAATGAGTACATATGTTCACCAAAACACAGGCATATTTATACAAGCATTTAAAAACTTTTTTGTTCCTTTTAGATATATATGACAGTAGAGTGTCTTTTGACATATTATACATACATGGAGTATAACTTATTCTAATTAAGATTCTACAAACATTTTAAAATATTAATCAAAACTTGGAAAACATGGAATAACCCAGATATCCTGTAGACACTTCTCCAATAACCCAATTTCTTAGTATTTTTCAATTTACAGAATTAACAGTCAAATAGTAACACAACTTGCATAACAATGAAAAACGAACACATCCCTGCCGCATGTAGCAACCTGGTGCCTGTCACAGACACAGTGGTGTACAGAAGAATTCAGACTCAGAAGAGCAAATCTGATATGATTCTGCATTTTATTACATATGCAAAACTCTAATACAGGAAAGCGAATGAACTGTCAATGGCTTGCCATATTTTGAGTTTCGTATATATTTTTATCACACCTTCTGCGTTGAAGTACTRAAATGTAAAACAGAGATTATGTGACAACCACTAAACAGAACTGGTTGATGCTCATTAACTCTTGAACTTTGAGATAGACTTGATATCCACGGTTTCAAAGAGTGCTTCTACCCTTTGGGCCACTTCCTCTTTATGCTGTGGTCAACSACGCTGAGTTAAAACCAGCCTGTTGCTTTCAGAAATAAACTGTCGCTGCAGAGAGCATTTTGTCCATGTTCTCAGGGAAAAGTTGCATTCGATTAAAAGATACTCATTTTCTCAATGTGGATGAAGACCACCTTGGAGCCACCAGAGGACAGGATATGAGAAAAAGGCCACTAAAGCCAGGTTTGAACTCCCAGGAGTACAACAAGAGTGGCAAGAAGAACTACCCTCTGAACAAATCAGATCAAATTCCAAGGCCAGAGAATCTGGGCGAATTGAGAAAGAAGGAGGGAGACCGAACAGGAGACCAAACAGCAGAAGTGACAGATACCAGAATTTGGAGTGATACTATATGAATCAAYTCTTGATTATCCCCATGGTAACCTACAGAAATAACAACCCTATGCACACTTCAAGCTGCAGGAGTACCTTTAACCGTCCTCACACCTGCCCAGGAAATGGGCAGGTCAACTGGCCGGCTGGGTACAAGCGTGGTGAGATTTCTGAGGATGCAGATGAGGGTCTCTAGGTATCTGTTTCCTTTGGCATGGAGAATTCCTGGCTAGGGATGCTTTGTGGGTAGGTGTGGCAACCCCATGGCCTATGGTTTCAGCTGTCTTGTGCAAAGTTTTCTTTTGAAAGATGGCACTTGTCAGGTCGGTCTGCTCGCTGTGGTAGGTTAGGTTCTCACACCTTCCTGTTTAGGAGGAATCATTGGAAGATTTGTCTTCATTGTCTTCTGCAAAGTGTCTTATCCCTCATAGTGTTCGAAAGACAGATGGTAAAAATAAAGAATCCATGGGACGGTGACCCTGAGAATTCTCAGAGCTTTCTTATGAACCTTGGCTTCTTCACCTAACGCATCAAGAGAAAAAGTTACTTTCTTCATTTGGTTTTTGGTTTTCTCCCTTTTCTTTTCCTTATCTTTAGAAACGTGTTTTTCACGGCCCAGTATTAGCGCGGTGGAAGGGGAACCCTTTTTTCTGAAGCATTGCTCCTCTTCCCACACRAGTGAAAATGAGGAAACCTCTGTAAGGTGGTACAAAAGCAGCAAGTCGAACGGACGCACTGAGCTGAACCCAAGCAGCTCTCCCAGAATTACTATGTATGACAACACTTTGGAATTTTGGCCACTAGAGTTAGAAGACCAGGGCTCTTATTTTTCCCAAATGGGGTAAGTAGATCTTTTTGCTTCACAGTCCTCTGGGCCTCGGTTCAGCCACTCAATTATAAAGAGATCTAACATGAAATAAATATTTCATTATTGAAAAAAATAATCTTTTTTTTTTTTTTCTTCTTAGTCATCATAAAGACTTCAGTAAGATTTCCTGTTAAGGGACCCTTGTTCATTAGTGTGGACTGAGTAAAGGTCGGTTTTARAAGTCAGATGCTCCTGTGGTCCTGATATCCCAGTGAAGTGAAATCAGTGGCTAGGACTTCATAATGACATTGATGTGCAGAGAAGGGGGAACAGGGTCAGTCTCCTGGGTAGCATCTTCAGGTGGCAGAGAGAATGGCATTGATGGCGACACATGGTACTCTAGTTTTCAGGGCTCACTGGGATCCAGGTGGCGGTGCTAGAGGAGGAGGTGTGTGTTCAAGAGTCAACCAAAATCCTACAGCCCTGARCCAGTGATGAAGGGGAACAGGGACAGGGCTCTGTAGTGTACTCATGCTATTGCCTGAGATTATGCCAGGATAATAATAATGGAGAAATGCAACTATTCTGAAACAAGAGCAATCCATTGAATATTGAATACGTCAATCACTGTTACTAGACTTGGTTCTGTTGACAGGAACATACAGAAACATGTGCACACATATATGTACACATATACACATGTATGCATGCCTTTATCTAGAGATTTGAGAAAATACCTCGGGGCTGGCTGAGTGGTRTCATTGTGCTGTGAGATGTAGCAGAGTTCTTTTAGAAATCTCGTTCCTTGCACTGGAGTGAGTCCTGATAATTATCACCCCGTCTTTGAGAGCAGGGTGCGATATCACAGTGAAACCTCGATATCACTCCTGTGGTTTTGCACAAAATGAGGTCATGGTTTTTTTTTTTGTTTTTATACATAGAAACTCCCAAGAGTCATAAAGAAATTACAGAACTCTTTCAAAAGTCAGTACGTTTCATGTGACCTTTTAAAGAGAGATAATTGCAGAAAATGGGTCACGACAGGATATTTCAGAGCAGGTTAAGGAAGACTGAAGASGGTACTTGTAAATTGGGTGGAGGAAGAGAACAACAAACACTTCCRAACCCTGATTGAATACAGGAACAAGGACAGGGCAGAACCATCAAAACCAAGGGGACAAACCCGTTGTCTGTGACCAACTTGGAGATGTGACATGGAGTACTGAGAACACAGCTCACCACAGGAAGCCACATGGAGTTATTAGCTAGAGAGATGATGTCAGAGAGGCATGGAAACTCAGGGGTTGGAGAGGAGAGGGGGGGCTCAGAGTGGCCTTGGTGACAAACTTTGAAAGTTGTTGGAGACTGATGAGTAAAATGTGAGAATAAGCAATGGGGGAGAAGCAGCTTTCACAATAGGGTGACGATGGTTGGGTTCTATCTGGGAGTGAGTTGTTTAGGCCACCTAGGATGGTGGACAATATAGAGGTGCTCAACATAGAGCAATCAGTAAGCAGCGTCCTGGTTTTACTATAGGTGTGTGTGTGTGTGTGTGTTTGTGTGTGTTGTGTGTGCACGTGCGAGTGTGCGTGCACGTGCATGTGCATGCATGTACATGCACACGTGTGTGCCTGCTCAGGTGCGCATTAGCTTTTGTAGTTTGGTGTGGGAGCTGCTTTCAGTGTGCAGACCCTCCACTTGGAATTCTCCCATGGGAATTGTAATCCCTTAATTCTTAACGGACTGCATTTACTAATAATCAAATGCTTCTGGGGACCCATACTTTAATCCTGCAGGGATCTGTCCCAATATATTTTAAGGAGGAAACCAATTAAGAAGGAAAGGTTTCCAGAAGGAAGAATTTTCTCTGAAAGAGGCAAAGAAATGAAGGTAGAGCGAGAAGTGCACTTTAAAAACTAATAATTAGATCCTGAGTTGATGAGCAGCAAGTTGGGCTTGGCGAGGTGCCCCCAGAGAGCAGACTGGAGGTTTTTAAGCCCTTTCTGTGCATGGCCAGAGGGGGAGCTCAGAGGCAGAGTGCAGTCAGTGGTCCCACCTAGCAGGGGGTCAGAGTCCACGGCTTTGGGTCSGTTGGCCTCAGCTTCACATCAGCCTCCAGTTCTTCTGTAGCAAGTGTGGCCTGTTGCTTCTTTCCACATCTGCAGCGTAATGTTGCACGTGTGACGAGWGCATTCATTCCTTCAGTTTCCTGAGTGTTAGGAGGTGGACTACACAGGTAAAGAGCATGATCTACTAAGATGAGAACTTGTACATGTCTGTTCCTGCAACAGATCAGAGAGACCTGGAAATAATCTCTCTCTCCAGATTAGTGAGGCTGGAGTTGGGGAAACTTCAGCAAACACTTGAGAAGAGAATGGTGCCAATGGGAGTCTGAGTCCTTCTCAAGGGCCAGGCGGCTCCATTATGTCTCACGGCCACTGACCCACTGCATTTCACTGTGACAACCGCCTGCCACCTTCTCCAGCACTGGACCATCTTCATATAGGGAATGCCCAAAGYGAGGAGCCAGATTTACATGGAGTGTACAAAACACTCCTGGCCCTTGGGGCTAACCAGATGTRCATTCCCATCTGGCCTCACCCTGAATAGGTGTGTGACCTTGGGCAAGTGGCTTAACTTCTCTGAGATTGAGCTTTTCCTTCTGAACATAGGGAAAATACCTGGTASAACAGCTGGAGCTTGGTGGTAGCCTTGTCTTGCTCCGAGCCTATTCTAGACTTAAAGGGGAGCTGGGAGAGCCTAAGTTGGGTGCCCATTGGTCAGGCACACAGAACCCGTCTGCTGTATTTGGGAGATGGATTCCTATGTATACAGGTCTATCACATCATGTATGGATACGTAGATCACATGTGCAATGTAAGCCAACGTCAGACTATAAACTTTTTTAAAATTACTCATTTCTGACCAGAAGGAACACTATAAAATCTATTCAGATTCACTTTTGTTCAGTAAAGGGCTCATATAGGTGTGCCGAGGGCCAGAATAGACTTTGTGTGACTCAACAGTGTAAGAGACAGGGATTGCWATACACTTCCCTGAGATACATAAACCTAATGTATGTACTTACTCATTCAGAAAACTGCCAGGAGTTTGTAGATCTCAGGAAAACAAGGCTACCCTCCCATCCTGACCTAGGATTCTCTGTTCTTGTCCCTTAATAAAGATTATCCAAGTTTTAGATATTTGCTGTTCTGACATCCATAAGATACAGCCCGGGGTGTGTGTGTGTGTGTGTGTGTGTGTGTGTGTGTGTGTGCATTGCTCAGGCTTTTATCTTTCACCCTAGGACTATTGTTAAATTTCTTGCTGCTCTGAAATAAGAGGAGGCAAAGTAGGGTATAGACAATCAATGAATGAATCTCTTTATACAAAAATTAGGAACAAATTATAGGATCAATGACAACAGGGAAGGTGGTTGATAACTATAAGGTTTCTGTCATAATTATTAAATGCCTTTACACTTTTATTTCATAGAAATGATACTCAGGAGCGGACATTAACCGTCACCAGAAGAAACATACACAGCTGTTTTAATGAAAAACAAGTAACTAGCAAACCTGTGGGAGTTGAGAAAGCTTTGGAGATTCCATGTACAAATGATTACTATCAGAAACTGATCAAGAAAACATCATTATATAAGGTAACACTTGGAAAGTATTTCAGCTTACAACATGATAGCAAAGATAAAATTCCCAAATGAAGATCTGGTGGCTGTGGACCATTTTGGTCTCCTCACAGACAAGCCTTCTGAACCTACGCAGCTCGCATGGCCTGTTGAGTGGGGTGTCCCTGTGGGGTTATTGGGAAGATCTAACGTACACAACGTGTGTAGCCCAGTAGCTTCTCTGTTCTGTATGAGTTGTTCAATCAGTTTTAACAGCTGCCGTCTTCTGCCTTTCCTTCATTTTCTTTCTCTTTCAATTAATAATTTTTGGTAATGTGAGTTTAAGTTTTTCATTTTCTTCTGTCACAAACACTTAAAATTCAAAACTTGAGTGCATGTGTTTTTTTTCCCTAAAAAYACAAGTTTATTTTATAAAGTTGAAAGATGGAAAAATATAAAATAAAAGCAAAAATCACTCATAATCCCAACAGCCACTTTTTTTTTCTGTGTAAACATCTACTTTTAAAAAGTGCTTTGTTCTATTGTTAGTGTCTCTCTTTTACTCACTAAAAATTATATTTGATTATTCGCCTACATCTTTAAACATTCTTCCAAATAGAGGATTCCATTGGTTTCACCTAACAGATTCCCTTGTATTAGACATTAGTACATTCCCAATTTTTCTCTCTTATTTAAAGGCTAAAAAYGAGTATGATTTTCATAGGTCTTTGGGTGTTTATATAATTTGTCTACAATCAAATCCCTAAAGTATATCATTGGATCAAAAGTTGATGGCATATTTGTGACTTTTGATACACAATATCATATTAGTTTCTGGGAGGCTTTGCTAGTATAAGGCCCCACACTTGGTATAAGAATTCCTCTTCCTTATACTTATCCCAAACTGGGAAATGATGCTTTCAGAAATGAAAAATCTGACATGGAAAATTTCTGAAACTCTTAGTAATTTTTTTTCTGTTATTTTCTTAATAATGAATTAAATACTTTAATATGTTTATTATATCATATTATTCCTTTGGTGGACAGCTTGTATATTTTTCTTTTTTCAGTTGCTGTGCCTTTTTCTTGTTGGGTTATAAGAGGTCTTTTAAACAATGCTACAGAGATTCTATATATACTTGTGTGTGTGTGTGTGTGTGTGTGTGTGTGTGTATCCTGTGTTGTGTGTAAAGAACATACACATCTAAGCACTTGCACAACTCCAACAACATAGTTTCTATAGAATAAATATGAATAATCTGACTCTATCATGGAAACTTGGAAGAGCTTCAGGAGTGGGTGGTCTGAATAGGAAAGAGCTGGGAAACTTGAAGCAACAAAGGACTTACCCTGTTCACTTGGAATTTTCAAGGAGACCTCTTACCTGACATGTTTTCTGAACGTTGAGTCAGTCCCCAGTTGACTTGCTTCTGTTTCCCATCGAAGGTCCACATGTTTTACAGAACACGAAAGTCAGTAAGTTCGACATATTGGGTTTTAAAGTCCCAAGGTTCAGATACCCACATTTAGGAAAGGGGCATCCTGAGGATGTTTTTAGCTGAACAATTGACACAGGGGCGAAGTGTTCTCATCCTGTGGACTGATTGTGACCTGTTTGAGGGGAGGAGAACAAGGACACTCGATTTGCCAAGGGCTAATTGGAGTTTCTGATATTTTGTGTATCCTGGAAAAATCAGTTTGGGTTCATTAAAATTTGACTTATACAGAAACATGTTGCTGTTCTGGGGTACCCCTGTGGGTACTAGCTACACAAGCCTGTTTTGTCTGGGTCCAGCCACAGTGGCCACCAGCTTTGACCAGCTTTGAGGGAGAAGTCTAGGTCCTTCTTATTTGGTATTTTCAGGAAGAATGTCACCTGGTAAGGGTCAGCCACTCAGTTCCCCTATTCTCCTTCTGTTCTTATCCCTAGTACTTACTCCCGGGGTGCCTAGTTCTTAGTACACAGAGTCGGAGTTAAGTGTTACCTTTTGAAACAGGCTTGAGCAGAAAGTTTTGAACAGAATAGAAATTATTTTTTTGCGGGGGTGGTATTTGTGTGTGTGTGTGTGTGTGTGTGTRTRTGTGTGTGTGTGTGTGTATGGTGCTGGGGATTGAACCCAGGGCCTTGTGCATGTGAAGCAAGCACTTTCCACCAACTGAGTGATATCCCCAGCCCTTTGATGTGTTTTTGCTATTATTGTTGTAGTGTGTGTGTAAAATATAGTTTAAAATAAAATGCGGACAGTGGTTAGGGTGCCCCGGTGCTCCACTTCCCAGGACAAGACGGGGATAACAAGGTCATGGGGTCACACTTCATTGATCATTGCTCCAATGAGAGCAAGATCAAGTCACTGGGACATTTTCTCAATAATTGCTGATTTCTGTTCAGTTTTCCTTTTTTCTCTAAGGATCTTAAGCTTTCCATGTGAATGATTGTCATACAAATATCGCCTTTGCTTACTGAAAATATTTTAACTTGCTTTTTTTAAAAAACAGAACTGTGAAAAGTTAGCTGAAGACAATTCTAGCCTATTTATGAGGAAGAACGCYGAGTTCAGTGACCAGGGATTTTACTCCTGTGTGTTTTCTCTTTATCATAATGGAAAATTTTATAACATCACCAAAACCTACAACATAATAGTAACTGAAGGTAAGAGAAATCCCAGAATTGGGAAGAAACAAAATTATATTAAAAAAAAAAAAAAAACAGAATCTTTCTTGGAAGGTCACCTCGGAACTCAGAGCTCATTTTGTTGAGCTTGTGACCATGTCACTTGTTAAAATTAATAAGATTCAAAATCTTCCTTTTGGTTCCCAGCCACCTGACTGATTTTTTTTTTTAATTGGGGCAGCAAATGAAAGGATACATGGGTGAACCAACCTCACAGAAGTCAGCTGTATTTTATTTATCATTTGAGTAAATTGTAGAATTTTGAGGTCATTAAACTTTTTGTTTCCACACAACAAATATTTACTGAGGACACAAATATTTCTGGAGGGCCTCTATTTTCAAAAACTGTACTTAGTATGGAGAGGCCAGGGAAACAGGGGCGGGATGTACTAGGAAAGGGCGGATAGACTGAGCTATAAGTGGCACATGGGTGCTACTTGGATTTGGAGGATAACACGTGGTCTGGTTTGCCATGCCCCCCAGACTATGTATGATGGAAAAATTAAAGCACAGCATTTTAGAGTGACAGGGAACTTAGAGTCATTTAACTAAACCTCATTCTATGAAGAATGTGGTGTGGACGATAATTGGTCATTTCTGTGGAATCCCTTCTTGGGATTTTCCAAGGCAATCATCAAATGGCACAGAAGCTTAGCCTAGATTTTAGTATCTGACGACAGGAAAGTCTGTTTATTTTCCCACGGAGTTCAAACACGCCTTCTTGCACCTTCTATCTTACTGTTGCTTGAATTTCAATAACTTCAAAGATTGGTCCCTTCTTAACATAAACATTTCTTCCATTGCTTGAAGATAGATGACTTGTCCATGCTGGACTTATGTCCTACCCCTCCACCATCCTGGAAAACTAAAACTTTGGGTGGGTAACTCATCCAGCCAAATCTGTGGGTTCAGTTTTCTTTCTTTTTAAAAAAAATTTGTTCTAATTAGCTATACATGAAATATTGGTAGCATACCGACTTTAGCAAAATCTTTCCTCTTCAACTATCCACATATATGGCTATATACCCGTGGGCTACTACTGTAACAAAGTGCCACAAGCCTAGAGTCTGTCCTCAAGTAGCATATATCTATTATCTTACAGTTCTGGAAGTCAGACTCCAGAGTAGATTGACTGGGCTTAAAATCAGAGTTTCAGCAGGATTGAGCCACTTCTGGAGGCTGTAAGGGAGAATGTTCCCCAGCTTCCAGAGGCCATCTGCAGGTCTTGGATCATATCAGTTCATCTTCAGAGCCAAGAGCAGAGGACCACCAAGTCTTAGCTCTCTCTCTCAATTTTGCTTCCATCATGTTGTGACCTTTCTGTTTCTTCTTTCTGAGGACACCTGTGATTGCATTCAGGGTCCACCTGGATAATCCAGGATCATCTCCTCATGTCAACATCCTTCACTTCATCTTGTCTACAAAATCCTATGGCCCCGTGTCTTTGTCCACTTCCTTTGCTATAACAGAGTATCACAGACTAGGCCCATGGTAAATGATAGATGTTTACTTGAGGAGGCTAGGGATTCCCAGAGGAAGGGCCACATCTGAGGAGGGTCTTCCTGCTGCATCATGCCTAGGCAGGAGGGCAGTCCAGCATGTGTGAGCAGAGAAAAATGGGAGTGGACTCATCCTTCTCATCAGGATCCCACTCCCACAACAACCAACCCACTCCAGCAATGATGATATTAATCAGTTTTTAATCATGACCTCATGACCTGCAGAATGGGATTTATTCACTGTGGGAGCTATTAATCTGCCTTCTGTGGCCATTAGCTGGGAATCCCACCCCTGAATTCCTAAACTCCAAAGTCTTGAATTCTATTGTGATTATCGACTATAAGTTCTTGAGCTTTACTTTCTCATGGGTATATTTTCTCATTTCCTATAAAGCTCTGGTTCCTTGGTATTGTCACCCCCTCTTCTTTCCCCCAATCATCTTTACTTTCTGCCCATCACCACCTCTTTCCTTCCTTCCTTGAAGAAGCAACAGGAATATCTATTATTAAATGGCAGAGATGGCACCAGCTGCTTTAGTTGAACCGTCCCTTACCGTCTTCATGACAGTGAGGTTGTGACCCTGGGCTGCTTGGCTTCTCTCTAACGTTTTGTCTTCAGTCGATGGGACAGTGCTATTTCTCAGCATCCTGCAGTTCTCAGCTGCTGTAGCCGGCACGCTAGCATACAGTGGGGGGCTGCTGGGTGATGCACTCCTATCTAAGCATGACCAGATGGGCCGAGCAGGACACCATGGTATTCTTCTAGTCAGGGATGGAMATCTCTCAGGATCAAAAGTAGAAGCGGACTTTCAGGTGTGGACCCCAGCAGGGCTGGGGCTGGGCTGAGCCGAGTGAGTCACCAGGACAAGACACTGAAGGGAATCTCCTCTCTGTGTCCTGTACAAGGAGGCTTGGCTCCTGAGAGTGAYGTCATTCAGATGATACGAACTGTTTAGAGATTTTTCTGTTTAATAATTTTGGACCACAGTGGGCCTTGGGTGAGATTGTGATTGCAGAAAGCAAACCATAGATATGGGGGACTGGTATGTTAAGGGTTTTATTACATGGAATGAGCCTATTGTGACAGGGAACTTGACCTTTTTATTTTCTTTTTCACATTTAGGTCAGAAGAATATGGCTCCCGTTCTTATTGGACCAAAGATCAATTATGTTGAAGTGGAATTAGGTATATTTTTAATATGTATATTTCCTGCATTTATGAGTCTGGGGCATAATTGGGTTTTCAAGGGTCAAATCTCATTCATTTTTAATTGACATCATGTGCACAACACACTCCATATTTGGTGAAGAGCACTGGCACTACAAAATCAAGAAAAGCATGTCTTTGAATGTTGCCATCTTTAGACTGATTAAAATGATCAGTCTGTTCAAAAGATGTGGCACTGTCTATGGTTTTTAGACTAGGATTTCTGTCACCTTGTGTGTGGCTTTTCCTCTAATGGTCTCCATGATCATTTCTAAATAGGAAAATTTGGTGATAACACTCTGCGGAGATGAGTCAAACTGGCTTTGTGCTTTGAGTATTCAATTAATTAATTCACTTTGAATCAATAGGCCGAGTCAACTGTAATTTAGGATTTGTTTGACAGGTCTTATGAATCAACATGTCCAGTTGAGCCATTTCTTTCAAATAGGAAAGTTAAAAAAAAAAAAAAGGCAGAAATTCACATCTGCTGAATGTGCTAACCCAGGTATTGGCTAATTGATTGAAATACTTTATTTGAATTAGATTTTCTAATCAACTCACAGGGGTATTAGACATGTTTTATGGATTAAATAACAGATATACAGAAAGGCTAAGTAACTTGTCTAAACTTAAACTGCTGGAAAGTGAAAGAGTGGGGATCATAGTCTCTGTCGTTGCTTCCAAAGTCCACAGCTTGCGATTGATGTTGGGGTCACAGTAGTTCATATGATAACGCAGGCCCGGAGCCTATCAGATAAGATGTCCTCTGTATTTGCACTTTGTCTGCTTTTTATTTTTATTGATTCTAGTCCATGTCTATATTATTTCTTTCCTCTCATTTTGGGCTTTTTWSTTTTCTTTTTTTTCTAGTACTGGGGATTGAACTCAGGGGCACGCAACCACTGAGCCACATCCCCAGCTCTGTCTTCTATTTTATTTAGAGACAGGGTCTCACTGAGTTGCTTAGAGCCTCATTTTTGCTGAGACTGGCTTTGAAATTGTGATCCTCCTGTCTCAGCCTCCTGAGCTGCTGGGATTATAGGCATGGGCCGGGTGGGCTTTTTGCTTTCTTCCTTTCTTAATAATATGTACATTTTATGCCCCAAATTTCCTTCTGAGTACTATTTTTAGCTACTTCTACTAAGAATTGGTATACCATATGTAATACTATTTTGTTTCAAACATTTTTAAAAATAATTCCCTTGTGATTTCTTCTTTAATCCATGGATTACTTTTGTTCTTAATTTCCAAATGTCTGGAGGATTTTCTAGTTATATTGCTGTTATTGATGTTCAATTTAGTTTTATGATGGTCCATGATTAGAGACTATCATTTTAACCTTCTGAAATTTATAGTGATTTGCTGAAAGGCCAGGATAGGGATTATTTTGATGAATGTTCCAAGTGTAGTTGAAACAAAGATGTATTCTGCAGGTTTGGGTTATATCACTCTTAAGTGTCAATTGGTTAAGTCAATTAATGGTATTATTTACATGATTTATATCCTTACTCATCTTTTGTTTTCCTGCTCTATCTCTTTCCAAGAAAGATACGTTAAGATTTCTAAGTGTGGTGGTCAATTTGTCTACATGCTCTATGGTTTTTGTCAAATTTTGCTTTCTTTGTGTTGGAGATGGAATATGGGCACATATAAATCTGTGCCTGTTGAATTGACACCTTCATCATTAGGCGATGTCTGTCTATAGCTTTCATAATGCATCCTTCCTCAGTGCCTAGGCTCTCTGGTATGAAATAATCAAGACAGTGTTTTTGGTTTGGGGATTGGCATGTTTTATCTATTTTTAAATCCATTTATTTCTGAAATTTCTTTGTCCTTATGCGTAAATGCTATCTCACATAAACTGCATATCTTTGGACCTTTTTTGAAGTCCAATCAGTACTTTGTTTTATATTTAAGAAATTACTGATTATGGTTGGTTATAAACCTGATATGAAAATGTTTATTCTTTTTAAATGAATTACTCTCATTTATTAAAAATGTCAATCTTTTATTCACTTGTTCATGGTTTCCTCTGTTTTCTTCTAAAATAGTTACTCGAAGTCTTTATCATCTCTGGACCTGCTTCTATCGTCTATATTTTCTGTTGATCATTGTCACGTTTTCTTCCTCTTTGTGTGTCTTTGAATTATTTATTGTTATTGATCTTCATGAATTAAACAACCAAAATGAATGAAGCTTGCATTATTTTCTTGCTATGACTCTTTTTTTTTCCTATTAGATAGGCAGAGTGAGGGGCTGAATATCTCTGTTCACTAATGATGGAGCTAGGGTGTCTGGGATGCGGTGTTCTGGGTTACCAATAGTGGGGGTGGGGGAGAACACTGCAGTTGTATTTATTGTAGGCCTTTTCCTAGAGTGGAACTTGCTTTCCTAAGTACCACAGGATGACAGTCTTTGTGGCCTCYGATGCTGCCCAAGGCTTTAGCGATGATCCTGCAAGCCTGTGCAGCTGACAAAATCTCCATTGGATTCTCTTATCTCTATGATATTCCTTCTATTTATCCCAAACCCAAACAAATTCCTCCATGGAATAAAATGGCTGATCATCTTTGCTCACCCTTGGAGATGTCTTTTTTGACTATGCTTTTTTTATGTATCTTTTTTTTTTTTTGGCTATTTCTCTTTATTTTCCCCTGCACTTTGATAACTTTAATTTTTAGTTAACTTAATTTTTGTAACATTAATTTTGTTTTTCTATAAGTTGTCTTGACAGTACCTAATAAATCATGTACTGAACATAAAGTCTACTAATGACCCTGTGTTTTAATAATTGATTTAAAAGTTAATATTTATGATTCAGTTCATAGCTTGACATTGCTATCCAATTCCTCTACTTTATTTTTATTTTTTTATTTAAAAGCAAAGCATATTTGCTCTCTTTCTGGAATGTAGTGCAGTTTTTTTACATTGAGTTAACATTCATTGATTTTATTAATCTGAAACCTCTGGGAAATATGAGTTTCTAAAATTGCAATGGTGGTTTTCAACTTTTACCCAGGAAAAGATGTACAGCTGAATTGCTCGGCTTTGATGAATGAAGACGACATAATTTATTGGAGCTTCTGGAAAGAAATGGACCGATTTAGTAATATACAGGAGGAAGGAAAGAAAACATGGTATGCATTATGTGATATATAATATATCATAATACATATGATAGGAAAATCATGATATATATATATATATCTTTTATATCATATATGTGTGTATATATATTTATATATACACACACATTTATATATATTTATATATACACACACATATATGATATAAAAGATGCAGAATTCCTAAGTGGTTGATGTAGTGTTTGGGGTTAGTTTAAATTACAACCAATGTATATATTTTAGCATTATGATTTCCATACCCTAGATTGATGAAATATGAAGAAATTTATTGCCAACATCTATGTTATATAAACAAGGTCCACGGGGGTTTTTAGCATCACCTTGTCATAGTGGTTATTTTGGTCCTAGGTAGGTGGGATTGTACTTTGTTTCTTACAAAAGAGCAATTACCTAGGATTCATTGTTTTGGGATTTTGAAAAATGTGTTCAGTGCTTCATTTTTACCAATGTGCCCAAAACCATACATAACTGATTCTTAAATAGTCTATGTTTTAGTCAGCTTCGTATCACTGTGACCAGTGACCAGAGACCCAGATGAGAACAATGTAGAGGAGGAAATTGCCGACTCCTTAGGTCTGGGCCTGAGATGAGGCAGAACATCATGGCAGAAGGGTACAGCAAACAGAGAGAGAGAAAGCTCCACTTTCCACAGGCAAAACATCTCTTCCAAAGGCACACCCCCAATGAACTGCCTTCTCCAGCCATGCCCTACCTGCCTGAGGCTTCCACCCAATTAATCCAAAGCAGCTGGTTAATCTACTGGTTAGGTGATACCTCTCATCATGTCATCATTTTACCTCTGAAAATTCTATCATTTTCTCACACATCAGCTTCTGTGGGATACCTCCATAACCGTCTATATTCTTACCTTAAAGTATGGCCAGACTTACTACAACAAAACCTACTGAACAGATGGTTGTTTATATTGTAATGACTATGTTGTAATGATTAATTATTATATGAGTATACTCCTTGGGGTCCAGGGAGTGGTGATCTGACCTATCACTTAAGCTGCACCCTGATTTTTTTTCCTGAATTTTTACTTTTTTAGCATATTCTTTGTCAGCCTCGTGACTGATCTGTAAGTTCTTTGCACTGCAAGGTCTGGGTCTTCCAGAGCGGACACATGGTTAGTGCCCAATACATGTAGAATTTGGCTGAATTAATGKTAGGGCTTTCCTGCTGGGGTTTCATCCTCAGCAACCATCCTCCAYTGAAGTTTTTACATTTCCTCCTTCTAATGATGCATTTCTAATATTTGGAGGGATAGTAGAACAACTCACCAGGCTACTTAGAATTGAAACGTAAGCTACAAGAGCAGCAGGTCTTAGAGTAGTCTGCACAAGCTTTAAATGTCATCCCTGTTGGCTTCCCAAAGCCTTTTGTGTCTCACTTATGGGTTTTTCACAGGTTGGAGATAGATAGTATTTCTGGATTGGAGCTTCTGGAAATTCTGTACTGAATTGTGTTCTAAGATGTATTTGAGACAGTCAGAGGCTTCAGTGGGGCTCCATATCCCAGGACCCACACAAGAGTGTGCTGCCTCCCATGCCCTCAGAGCATGGAGGAAGTGAACGTTGTCATGAGTGTTTGCGTCACATCAGTGAAAGGACTGCTTGGATCATTTGAGGAAGAGGAAGACAGCTTGCTACCAGTGGTTGTCGCAAGCCATTTTCTGATGTGTCTGAACAGCTTAGCTGATATTTCTCTTGTGCCCTTGGTATCTGAGAATAGTGATTGAATACTCTGGATATGAATCTGTATCGTGCACAACAGTTGACAGTTGCTCTGGTTTGTATATTATTGGTGTTCAGAACTCCTGCAAAAGTTTAATTCCCAGTCTTGTTAATGATATTGATAGGGAAGACAGTTAAACCAACAGTAGTATTTTGAAGTAACATGTTTTCAAAGCAATTTGATTAGAGTAAGTCATTACAGTGGAGTCCCCATGACTGAATTTTGGTGGCTTTATAAGGAGAAGAGAGGAATACATGTGGAAATGCACACATGATCCCTAAGATAAAGGGATCATGTGTGACAAAGTTCAGGGGATTCCTTCCTAGAACCTGGGCCATACTGTTTGGACTTTTAGAGTTCCAAAGCTATGGGCTAAATATGCTTATTTCCTTTATAAAGTTACCTGTTCCAGGTATTTCGTTACAGTAATAAAAGCTACCCAATACAATTGCCTTGTCAGAATGGGTGGAAAATACTTTGTGGGAAGAAGGAGAGAAATAGGAAAAATAATTGATGATTAGAATAATTGTATTTTCAACTTTGCATCATTATCTTCCTGGCATTTAAATTCTAGATTCTTGATAACATCATTCCAGCTGATCGCAGGAGGACTGTTTCTGTTGATTATGATGCTCCACGGAGAACAGGAGGCTTATTGTAGCTTTAAGAGTATCCACCAGAATGAGAAGATTTGATATAGTCAATGTAGTACCTGCCTTTGAATATGAATTCCCTCTCCTGGGTAAAATGTGCTGATTTTGAAAAAAGCCTCTTGCTAAATCATTTTCTTCTTACAGGATCTCAGAAGGCAAATCTTATGCTTCAAAAATACTGAGAATTGAGAAAGTTAAGGAAAACGACCTAAGTTTTTCATATAATTGCACTGTGGTCAATCAGGAAAAAACAGACACCAGTATGTTCATCTTGTTGAGAAAAGGTATGCTTGGAAGCTTGTGGAAACAGCACACAGCTGCTGAGTCAGACGCTTCTTTTTTTTTTTTTTTTTTGTAGTAGAACCGGGCTTCCGAGAGGTGACAAGATTCATCTTATGTCCCAGGCATTCAGTAGCAGGATTAGTGCTCAGCCCTTGCTGAAATTCTCTGTGTCGTGATCCCAAGCAGAATGAAAACACAGAGTTTACACCTTTACTCTCACAGTCATATTCCAAACCGCAGAGACCAGGTAGACAGAGCAGGGAGGCAGGTGAAGCTCGGGCACGCAGATGCTGGTAGGTCTCGGGGGAGCAGTCAGATCAGCCTTTGCACAACCAATCCTTCACACCCACGACAACCAGAGAAGAGCTTGCAGATCAGTGTGGAAGGAGCCCATTGGACATCAGGCATAAKTGCTTCCTCCAGCCTCCTGTAGCAGGGTCCTGGGCTCAGCTGGCCCTTGGGGGTGGTCGCTAATTCAGAAAGCTTAACTGAGGCCTCCTTCCTGGGCCATCTCCAGGACATAGCAAGTGGGCAGTTGATGGTCCTTATCTGTGGGATTCTTAGCATTTTTAGTGCCCACCTGATACAATGCTCCAGGGTCGTCCATTCCATCATCTACCAACACAGCAGAACTCAGGGCCTTGGGTCCAGTGACTGCTCAGGTGCAGCTGTAGCTTGAGCCAGAAATCTTCTCATTCTGTTTGTCATAACTTACTGCTCATTCCCCCATCTCCCTGGATTTGTAAGGAAAGGTCAGGATCTGAGAGACGGAGAGGAAGACAGAGACAGGCAGACAGACGTGGAGAGATGGAGACAGAGAGAGACAGAAACACAGAGAGACAGAAATGGGAGAGCGACACAGGGAGCTAGGGAGGAACACACAGAGGACAGGAGAGGCACACATGCAAACAGAAAGAAGCAAAGACCAAAGACACAGAAATGACTGCCGTGGGTTTTGCAAGAAGCAGAAGGGAGAGGCAGAGAGAACCAAGGGCCAGGACCCTCTGTGCTGCCCCAGGGTCCGTTGGCATCTCCCCAGGCACCCTGTTGGAAGCCCTTGTTCTCCCACATGCAGTAAGAGCAGAAGCTCACGTTCATTACATGCTGATTCTGTGACAGACTTGGTGCTCAGCCCTTTCTATGATTTCACCCCATCTCAACAACAAGCTTTTATAATTGAAGAAACTTGCTCAAGGTCACATAGCAGGTAAAGGTATTAAAACTCACAACTGACTCTGGAATCGGTGCTCTTCTTCACATCGACAGGTCCCTTCCCTTGCGGGTACCTCTGCCATGTTCATGCACTTGCCAGGCAGAAGCTTTCAAATCTGCTTCTCCTGGTTGACACGCAGACTTGCTTGCATTCCTGGCTGCCTGCTGGCCACCTGTCACCTCCACCCTCCGTGCAGGACTGTCCTTCTTCCTCCTTCCTCCTGCCCTGATCAATTCTCCCTATGYTGAGCTCAAAAATACAGGCTGGGGAATTAGGGCCTCCCAACCCACCCTTGCCCCTGGAGGAAAGTGTGGGCCTGGGTGCGTGTGTTTGTGTATGTGTCTGTCACAGTCATGGCTATGTAGACCCTTCAAAGGTTTAGGAATTCCAGGGCCAGGGCCTGACTTCATTCAGATGCACTTATTAAATAACTTTAGTTGTTTACTTGCATCCTAAAAGTTAATTTCACTGGAAAGGACATCACTAAAAATTGTGCTGCTTAAGATGGCAAACACTTTAAACATGTTTGTATTCTGTGAATTAGAATCTACTCTGAGAAAATACTCAGAAATATGGATAAACATGTCTACCTGTGGCTATCACCACATTGTGGGATGGTTGTTAAAATTAATTTACTCTTTGTAATCCTCTGCATTATCTTATACAATGAGCCCAAACTGAGTACTCTAAGAAATGTAACTTTTTTCCCCAAAGGCAATTTTCTAATGAAATTTTGCTCAAATTCTGAGGACATTGTGCCAGGCACTGTGTTAACTACTTTGTGTATAATATCTTCCCCCCAAAAGCACCTGTAAGTAAAGCAATAACTTTATTTGTTTATTTTTCTTTCTTTTTTTTTTAAAGAGAGAGTGAGAGAGAGAGAGAGAGAGAGAGAGAATTTTTTTAATATTTATTTTTAGTTCTCGGCGGACACAACATCTTTGTTGGTATGTGGTGCTGAGGATCGAACCCGGGCCGCACGCATGCCAGGCGAGCGCGCTACCGCTTGAGCCACATCCCCAGCCCTTATTAGTTTATTTTTAAAAATGAAAATACTAAGATTGAGGAGTCTCTGTGATTTTGCCTCTGATAGGAACCAATTGATGGAGCCAAGGCTGCAAACCTAGATAATCTCAGTCCAGGGTTCTGTCAAACCATGCATTTCCATTTTCTGCTTACCAAAAGGTTTAGTTTAGCTTTAGTTTTAGTCAGCGTTTTTGTCACTGTGACTAAAAGACATGATCAGAATAATTGTAGAGGAGGAAAAGTTTATTTGGGGGCTCAGGATTGCAGGGGTCTTGATTCATAGATTGCTGGCTCCATTTCTCAGGGCTCAAGGTGAGGCTGGACATCATGGTGGAGGAGTGTGGCAGAGGGAAGGAGTTCACGTGAAGATCAGAAATCAGGGAGAGAGACTCCATTGGCCAGATACAAAATATATATATCCCAAAGACATGACACCAAAGACCCACTTTCTCCACCCACACCATACCTGCCTTCAGTCACCACCCAGTTAATCCCATCAGGTATCAATTCACTGATTGGGTTAAGACCCTCATCACCCAATTGTTTCTCCTCTAAACCTTCTTGCATTGTCTCACACATGAACTTTTGGGGGACATCTCACATCTAAACCAAACCATAACACCAACTGAGATTTCTATTTGAGTCCTTTGTATTTCACCCTAGTTTATCATTGTCCCAGAAATCTGAATTCTCCAGGTGCAGAGTAYGTTATAATGTTTTCAGTTCAGGTTTCTGAATATTCTTATACCTATTTTTAATTCTTTAGAAATTTGAATAGCTGAGTACTGCAGACTAACAGCAGGCATTCGAGTTGTTTGATGGAATGTGGGTGAACTTGGGTGGATACCCGGATTAGTGAGAAGGGCAGAAACTGACRACCACAATGTGATGGTGGAAGATGCTGGTGATATTTCTTGGATTAATCATTTTCTTTTTCTCTTTCTTTTGTAGCCAGCAAAGATGACATCCCAGGCCACATCTTCACTGGAGGAATGATTGTAGCGATTTTGATCTCGGTGGTGGTGGTGTGCCTAGTGATGATGGGTATCATCTATAGAGTCGACTTGGCTCTGTTTTRTAGAAAATTAATGAGAAGAGATGAAACACTAAAAGGTAACAACTGTCCTAAYGCTGGGACTTCTTATTTCATGATGAAGTTAGTAAACCCAATAGGGAAACATTGACATTCATCTTATTTTGATGGTACTGTTGATTTAATCTGTAGGAGAGGTTTTCCATGAAAAAGTAACCCCACATGTACCCTCCATCATGCATGTTATCATGTGACCTTTGCTTGTGCCTATATGTTTGCAAAAATTGTTTTTTAATTGTTTCACGTATGTATGTCCTGTCCTGCATGTGACACTTGAGTCCAAGAACTGCACATATGGATGCCTTTGTTGACATACCACTTACTGATCTCACCCAGTGCATAGACTCAATAAAGCTTGTTTGTATGGAATTGCATTGTTACGTTTTATTATTTTGAACTGGAATAGGAGGCTGTGTAATGTACCTGTAAGAATGCGAAACTAGAAGCCAAATTATCTGGGTTCTTGTCTCCTAAATCTACCCGTCTTACCTGCTATTATGTCTACCTGGGTACTCTAGAACTAAGTTTTCCCTGTATTTAAAAGGAGTTGACRTCCTTACAATTACTGAGCTTTAAAAAATCAAGCTAATAGATTTCACTGGCTTTTGTTTATAGATATATTTGTCTGACTGTAGGAAAAAAAAAAAAAAACCCTTCATGTATTTCAAACACCAAAAATTCTAAGAAATTAACACAATTGGGCCTCCCCTGCCCAGCCCTGTCCCATGTCTGTGAGTCCTACTCTGACCCACTGATACACACCCAATTGAATATTAATATGGATTCTTGTTTCACTCCCCCTTTTACAAAAAACAAATCTTGGTTTATTGTGCGCAGTATTGTAATCTGCTTTATTATTCCTTAGGTACTTCTCCATATCACTTTATGTATATGCCCCTTATTTCTAAGTGCTGGTCAGTGTTTTATGTCTGTGGAAGTCCCCATGTTTACTTGGTCTCCTTTTGACAGGTATTTGAGTTGTTTCCAGTTGTCTGTTAATACAGAAATTCTGTGAGGAATGGCTTTCTACACGTGCAGTGATTGGAAGGGAAAATTCCCCAAAGTGATATTTCTGGCAATACAAAAGGAAGACACAGCTGTTATTTTGGTAGATATTGTAACTTTGCCCTCCATACCACTGTTATTATCACTTTCAAAGAATGAGAGTACATTTTTTTCCCATAGCCTCACCCACCACAATCTGATAGGTGACTTGTGTCCCCCTTGGTATAGTTTTAATTTCCATTGCAATTATTATGCAAGAGCCTGAGCGATTTCTTCATTTGTTTAAGACTTCTCTGTGTTTTCATTTACAGTATACCTACTCKTATCATCTGTTTCTTCTTCTTCCATTGGGCTGATAGGCCGGCAGTCTGGCTGGGCACAAAATCACGAGCCACTCAGGCAGGAACAAACTTTATTTCTGAACTCCACCAGCACACTCCACACAGGCTCCCCAGGAATTCTCCCGCAAACCACACACRCAGCGTTCTCCCGGGACACACTCCAACAGGAAATCCCTCCTCCGGAATTCCCTCCTACCGCACTTCCCCAACCAATGGGAACTCTCCTGGTAGCAGGCCTAGGCAGACAGCAGGGGTCTAATCTCCAACTGAATGCACATCTTAACATAATCATTATCATCTCATTGGCTTGCTGGGGTCACCTTTCAACCAAAAATGCTATGYGTCATTCCTACTTGGCTATGGTTCTCTGCACTGATAGCTTTTTATTTATTTATTTTGTTTTAATTGGCTCACTGTTCTGGGAGCTTTTTACTTGCCTATTCTCTATAATAAGAAATGTAAATATTCCCATATTGTCATTTGTCTTTTGACTTTGCTTATTTGGGGTGCTATATGGAAGACTCTATTATATCTTTGTGGTCTCTGGATTTGGAGTTAAAGTACAAAGGGCATTCTACCTACGGACCCCAGGTAAAGGAATTTTTTATATTGGATCCTTTAAAATTTTTATCAATTTCTTTGTCTCACTTAGGACTTTTAGTCTGACAACATAAAACTAGCAAAGTCACCCTGCATGTGTGTATGATTTTGCTATGAGGCAAGAGGCTGCAGCAAACTGGGAGGGCTGTGTTTGGTATTTCCTGCACTGTCACAGCTGGAATCAACTGGTATTTACCCTAGAAAAGGCATTAATAACTCTTTGTCTTTCAGATTTTTATCTAGGATTTTTGTTTTCTTTCCAGTGTGTTTGATCTGATTTACAGACTTTCTTTTTTTGTTCATACTTTTAACTCTCCACATGGCACTGTACAGAGACATTTAGAGATGTGCTCTAAACCACTTCTACTCAAAGTGTGGACTGTCAGCAGATGCAGTCCATGAAAAGGGCAGAAATGGAGATTAAAGGTTAAAAATAAAAAAACTTTTATAGCAGTTTAATATTGCTGTTATATCCAAGAGTGTGTTTAATATTGGTTTCTGAAAGGTTGGAAATGAAATTAACTAATCAACAACAACAACAAAACAAATTTAATTAAAACATGCTTTTAATCACACATAGCTTAAGAGGCATTGATATAACTAACTCCTTGTTTTTTTCAACTACCCACTCAGATGATGATTTCCTTTATTCAGAATAAAAAAAAAATCTTTAGCGTTTTCATATTTCTTGAGCTCTTTGTCAAATTTTAAAGCTGTTAAATCTTTCATTACCTGGATGTTAAAAAATTGTAACATAGATTTGCAGATTTACATTACAAGAAGAGAGTTGTTTGAAAAAAGAAAATTGAAAACAATTTATAGTTGAAAAACCAATTCTTCATTGGTAAGAGCAACACTGAAATAGAAATCCATCTTTGACTAAATTGTCTTCCCAGTTTATTGTGATCAGTAATAAACTGAATGTARAACAATCACCATCAATAATTCCTACAATCAGTAGTAAACAGTGCTTAGTTATATAATGCCTATTTTCATCAATGAGCACCGGCTCTTAACTAATAAATAAATATATGGTACAGCAATCTAGGATAATCATCCAGGTGAACTATTTACTAATTAAACTAATAACCACTTTTATTTTTAACATCATTTCCTATTTTTAATATGCATGCAACTCTGCAATCTTTATAAAATTTTCTATCTTTCATATGCATGAAATTCTGTAAAGTAATTGCTTCACATCAACAACAGGTTCTGACTCGTGCTGTTTATCCAGAATGAAATAGACAGGATGGAGCCAATTTTTGCCAGTGGAAAGTGTTGTTTTGTGAGCCTGATGCTATTGAGGATTTTGGACAGGGCTGGTGGTCTTAAATGCTGTGACCCAACAAATGACATGGATCAAGAATGATTTCATCCCATAATATTTTTTCCATATTTTTTATTGGTGGATTATATATAATGATGGGATTTGTTGTTACATATTTGTACATTCACATGATGCMGCAGTCCGGCTGCAGCAAAATAGCTGGGGGTGACGAATAACTTGTGTACGTTGATACAGCAGGAATGGGAGCCGTTTATTGTAGGACAACAGAGCTATTTATACATTTTGCACAGCTTATCTTAATTAGCATAAACTAGATACATCAGTCAACCAATAAGGAATCTCCACACTTAATGGCTCACTTTTGTTACTTTTCAAACCACTCCCTCTGGCATTTTGCCAGGCACCATCCAGACTTGTTTACGAACTCTAACATTTCTCTGGCAAAATACCAGGTGTTATTTTGACTTGTTTACAGACCTTAACAACATGATATAACAATGTAATTTGGGTTATATTTTAACAGAAGATTCAAATTTATTACATTTATCAAATTTTTATTAATAAATGTATTATGGGCAATTACTAATCATTAAATAAATATTAATAGTAAATAATATAATAATTCCATAATAGTATGATAAATGATAAATAATAAATAAATTGTTAATAAAAAATTAATCGATAAATTTATTAAAGCCAGTCATAGCTTTACTGATCCTGATAATAAGCCAGGCATAAATCTCAGCCTCTACCCAGTTTTCATGAGATAGAGATAGAACATTCCACTACCACGTCCCTTCTTTCCTTGCCCATCCCCAGTAGTCTTAGTTTCATTATTTAGGATCTGACTCAAAATGTCACCTTTCATAAAGCTGGTCCACTGGGATCCCTCTTCATTCTCTGACCAGGTTACTTTGTCTTTCTGCTTTACTTTGTTTTTCATCTGCTAATGGGTCGATTGTGACTTTTCCCAAGTTGTTGCCCTTGTCTCCTTTGTCTCCTCAAGTTGATCAGATCAAGCTGAAGAGAAAACTGCGTAATTGTCCAGCTATCCAGTAAGGAGAATGACCTTTGTCATGTAGGTAACACGTGGCCTGCCAGATCTGTCTGTTGGCCATGAAAACTGCTCCCAGAGCAAGAGTTCAGTAGGGGCAGATGTCGGGACCACGGAAAACCCTTCAATGGGTCAGAWGTTTTCCTTTTGACACCTGATATGCTGTGATATTTTAAATCATCAGTGTGTGTTGTGCTAGCATACTGTCTCAATCACCTCTCTGTTTCTCTTCCTGGTGCAGTGAACAGGGACTCAGTATTGCCTCCTCCTTCCTTGGGTGGGTAGAGATTAGGATACTGGTAGAATTGAATGATGTGAGTCAAGTGAGGTTCGCTTTCACTCCTGGAAGGAGGGCGYGTTCCTGCTCCTTGGCCTGCTCTTGTCTTTAAATCACTCTATAGCCCTGATTGATGGCTTATATTTCTTTCCAGCTCTCGATGATATCAGCATGAGTCTTAAAGTAGATTTTCACAAAGACATTTGATTCAATGTCTGGTTAGTGACAGAGGTTTGGCAATGCTATTTTTAACTTTCCTTTTTTAATGATTCTATACTCACTAATTATGACTTTAGATCAACTTTTACTTAAAACAACTTTGATTTACACATTAATTCAAAGAGTTAATTTTATCTCCTAGATGGAAAAACATATGATGCTTTTGTGTCTTACCTAAAAGATGGTTGCTCGGAGAATGCAGAAGAGTACACTTTCGCTGTGGAGACTTTGCCCAGGGTGTTGGAAAAACATTTTGGGTACAAGTTATGCATATTTGAGAGGGATGTGGTACCTGGAGGAGGTAAGAAAGGGGATGCCGAAACAGAAAACTAGTAGAGATGCTCTTTTTCAAAAGTTGAGTCAGCCAGTTATATAGATAGATGGCTCTCCCTTTTTCCTTAAAAATAAATGAGCAAGGTTCTTTAGAGCAGAAATAACCAGACCCGTCACTATTTGGTTCTTAGTTAACCAGATTAATGTGGTTAACCAATACCTTATTATCTCACAGTGGAAAAACAAACTATTGTATTGCCTGCCAATCATCTCTTTCTTGGGCTATATTTGTTCTGCCTCATGGTTCTGCAAAGTTCTGAGACAAAGGTTGGACATTTTGTTTTCAGAGACAAGTTTAGAATTGTCCTTATCTTGAGACATTGATCTAGAAACAACTCCCAGAAAGAACATTTATTCCTTGGAACCAGTTTCTAATTTAACCATTGATGTTTGCACAATGATAAGCAGGATAATTCTTACAAGGAATGCTTGTTCTTCATGGCGTGATGTTGGTGAGGAAATTAAAGTAGAAGATAGGGGAGTTAGGAAAGAATAAGTAAGAGGAGTTTTTGGGTGTTTTCCTATCAGATCATAGGAAATTCGATGTTTTTACTAATATGTAAATACAAACGGCCACAGCACATGTTTCAAGGCAAATTACAGTAAACTTTGGGTACAAGTTATGCATATTTGAGAGGGATGTGGTGCCTGGAGGAGGTAACAAACGGGATGCTAGGCAGAAAACTAGTAGAGATATTCTTTTCAGTCAAAAGCTGTTTCAGTCAACTTGCTATTTACTGGCTTTGTGACTCTGGGGAATTTCCGTGACCACCCTGTGCTCTGGCTTAGTAAAATGGGAGTGATAACAATACTTTCCTCATGGGGTCTCGATGATGATTAAATGAGTTAATATGGGTAAAATTTTAAAAGAAGTAACAGAGTAAGTGCTGGGAAGGTGATTATTATTACTGCCCCTAGGTGGTTGTTTTCAATGAGCATATAAAAATTAAGAATAAATGGCTTATTTTAAAACAAGACTGTGCAAAATAGTTTTTTATTACATGCCCRCCCTTCCAGTCTGCTTCCATTAACAACATGTCTTGTGTTTTCAGCTGTGGTTGATGAAATCCATTCACTGATAGAGAAAAGCCGAAGACTGATCATTGTCCTCAGTAAAAGTTACATGTCCAATGAAGTCAGGTATGAACTTGAAAGTGAACTCCACGAAGCATTGGTGGAAAGAAAAATCAAAATAATCTTAATTGAATTTACACCTGCAAGTGAATTCTCATTCTTGCCTCAGTCAGTCAAGCTCTTGAAATCCCACAGAGTGCTGCAATGGAAGGCTGGTAAGTCTCTTTCCTCTAACTCAAGATTCTGGAAAAATCTTCTTTATTTGATGCCTGCAAAAGCCACCAAGCCAAGCAAAGGAGAATCAGAAGCCTTGCCTATTTTTTCAGCGTATTGAGCTCCAGAAAGCGGGGTATGGGAAAGTACTCCAGCTGTTCTGGGGAGCCAGCMCAGGAGCCTGCTCATCACAAAGGCTGTTGTTTAAAATAGACGACTCTATGAACATCCTGCTCACAGTTCAAAGATGAGATCTGTCATCAGGTCATTGGGGATAAGACCAAACATTGAGCTGTGGTACTTCTGGAAAACCCTGGAATGCAAAAGAAATGGAGCTCTTCTTTCTTCCTCTTCTRAAACTGCTTGCAGCTGCTCACACCAATCAGCTGATTCAGCAAGTGTGAGGCTGGGAACCTTGYAAATCAACTTTTGCCTTACATGGAGGGTGCATCTTTAAGAGTTTTCAATGCTAACAATTAATTTGAACCTGAGGATTTTAAGGGCRCAAGGAGTTATTTTCTATGAACCACTGGATGGTAGTCATGGGAATGCTGCCTTCATCCCCCCAGCACTGGCCATCAATCTCTAAATTCATGGGACGTGGAAGGAAAGAGAGGCCTGATGATGTGCAGAGCAGGGAAGTGAGGAGGGCCGCTGCTGCAAGCAGGGTCTGAACCTCAAGATATGGGTCCTGTGGCCCAGCCACAGTTTCGAGGAAACAGTTCTTGGAACTCCAGAGAGGCACTGCATGAACCTGGTTTATTCGAACCTGTTCRTAAGGGCTTTTAAAAGAGAACCCCAAACAGAAGGACTTTTCACAAAATACCCAAATTTTAATTCATAGGATTCTCTGGGTCTTTTGCTCATACTGTCCTAAAACACTTGTTGATTGTATGTAAATGTTTATATCCAAGGTGAGTGCYGCTCATAAGATCATGGGATGCACTGAATCACAATAAAAAAATAAAACATAGTTATTCACCTTTTTTTTAAACAATTAAATTTTTTAAGTGCCACTAGTGTGGAAGAAGCATGGCATGATGGTGGAGGGACTGGCTGTGTAATCCTGAGCCCCGATCTTGAGTTTGCTACTTAGTTCTGTGCCCTCTACAACTTTACCCAACTTCTCTGTGCCTGCCTCGTTTCCACATTGTAAAATTAGATTTTGTAATARTTTTACCTTCTTCTCAGAGTTACTGTGTGAATAAAGTAATTCCAACTAACTATTCTTGGTGCGGACTTACCACTGAAGTGTTGCTATCACTATTATTGCTGTTACTGATTATTACTTATATCAGTTATTTAACAGTGGATCAAATAGAAGCCACAGAGCTGGAAGGGGAGGCAGATCTGGAGAAGGCGGCATCTGAATTTGAGGGCATTAGTAAATAGAAATATAAGGAGATGCATATTAATAGGGCAAAAGTTACACCTCCACTCCACGGACATGTGTTACTTTTGGCCTTAGAAGTCCTACATCTGTTTCCCTAGAGGAACCCCAGTTCTGTGGGCCTTCCAGTTGACCTCAGAAGTAATGCCTGCCCATGAAAATCAACTAGTGAAAAGCTAGGCATGGTGGTGCACACCTGCAATCCCAGCGATGTGGGAGCCTAAGGCAGAAGGATTGAAAGTTCAAAGCCAGCCTCAGAAACTTGGTGAGACCCTAAGAAACATAGCAAGACCCTGTCTCAAAACAAAAAATAGAGAAAGGGCTGCAGCTATGGCTCAGTGGTTAAGTGCCCCTGCATTCAATAGTCCCCGGTACCAAAACTAAACAAAACCAAACCAAAAAACACTGATGACTCAGCCTTACAGAGCAAGGCAAGACAGATATGTGCGAAACTGTCAATTTGGGAGTCTGACTAGAACTTTAGTGCAGCATGAATGTTCTGGAAAATTTAAAGAGTCTCTTTAAAACAGAAGATTTTGTTGAACATCCAAGACAACGAGATTTCTTTGTGAGAGAGTGAGATGCAATTTTTTGGTGCTTACGATTCTGGTTGCTTGTTGACTGGTTAAAGCTGGTAAATGATTTTTTAAATGAATACCTTATGTTTTATATGTGAAAATATATAATCAAAAAACTTATATTTCTATTATAATGCATAGAATAATTTTGCTTGTCTCTTTTATTATGCATTCTTTAAAACACATTAAATGTGTTTTGTATTAATGTGTTTCACATTAAATATGTGTATTCYATATATTAGATATGTGCTTTAAAGAACTTCAAATACAAAGAAATATGTTAATAAACCTTTGGTCTCTGTCTTTATTTTTGAAGTGCCTTATGACTCTCTTTTTCCACTTGAAAATTGCAAACCCTCACTTTAAACAGATTCCCACCTGATTTTTTTTTTTTGTACAAAGCATTGAACCCAGGGGTGCTAAACCACCAAGCCACATCCCCAGCCCTTTATTATTATTATTATTATTATTATTATTAATTTTGAGAAGGGCTTGCTAAGTTGATTAGGGCCTGGCTAAGTTCTGTGGCTGGCTTTGAACTTGAGATCCTCCTGCCTCAACCTGAGCCACTGTGCCTGGCCCCACCTGTTTTAATAAGATATGGGACATTCAAAATGAGCTTTTACCCACTCATATTTTAATGTGAAGTTAGTTTGTGTCTACCTTTTTATTTATCTTCTATCCAGGAGCAAAAGAATTCCCTTTCCTCTCTCACAAGTCCACATGATACTAAAACAAGGACTTAAAAATGATAGGTCTTCACATGCCAGTTAATGTGCATATTTTAAATTTTAAAAAGAATCCAACCAGGATCAATAAATAACTTTTTAGRTATTTGAACGTGTTTCTCTTCCATGATTTCTAATACCCTTAAACTGGAAAATCTTGTTTCAGAGAATCAGAACAACTAACTCTCTGGATGTATAAAGAAATGCTTCATCTATGTSTATTATTCTATTGGAAAGCATTTATTAAATTTAGAGTCATAGTCCCTCAAAGCAGAGATCAACTTTATGACCCAAGTTTTCCAAACCCAGGAATCTGAGACATGGTATGACTGAGACATTCAGGATGTGACTGCAGTCACAGAACAGCCTATCCTACCAGTCTGGAACAGGAAAATTCCTAGTTTCCTCTCTTTAAAATTGCACACATTACTTTTTTGACTTAGAATTGCTTTGGCTAGTCTGAGTATTTTTTTTTTCTTTCTGTGATTTTTTTCTAGTTCTGTGAAGAAAATCATTGGCATTTTTGATGGGAGTTTATTGAATCTGTCTCATTTTTTTGTAATCTGGTTATTATAACAATATCATTTCTGTCTATTCATGAACATGGGAGATCTTTTCATCTTATGATGTTTTCTTCAATTGTGGAGCAAGTATTTTGCAGGCTGCAAGCACTTCTCTGGGGATGCACATCATAYACAGAGAGCCTAGGGCAGGGTCCCACAGAGAGGAAGCAGGTTGCTTAGGACTGGCTCAGAGGATGAAAAGACAGTTAAGAGGAATGTGCTTATAGCCATTAAGATCAGAGTGGAGGGCAACTAAGCCTTTGAGTTCTGTGTAAGATTAAAGTGCATGCTTACTAGAGCATGCTCATGTGGCATCGACTGCATTAGAGGGATTTTGGACCCTCAACAGGGACTATATCGAAGTTTAGTAGCAGGAGAGGTGGGTCAGGACTCCCAGAAAGCTATAGAAAGAATGTAGCTACCAACAGCTRTCTGAAGTGAGGACATTAGAAAAATCAGTGCCCCGAACCAAGTTGAATTATAGCTTTAAATACCCCGAGGGAATAATCTGTTGCTCTGACTTGAAATGTAGCTACACGGAAGGAAGTACAGGATCAGGAGAAGCCGAATTTCTGAGCAAAAGCTTCTCTAAGAGTAGGATCTTTGAGCCATGGAGGTTCTTCAAAGAGTGGCCCAGCCACAAATCTAACAGGAAACAGCATGTGTGCACTGTGGGCAGGAACTGGGGCCTTTCAACACCTCTGCGTGTCACACCGATAGTCATCAGGGTCCCGGCTRGGAGTTTTGAGCCAACAGCTTTGTGTGTGAGGTTTCTCAAAACATGTTTTTATCTCTTTCTGGTGTATCTTTTGAATGTACAAGCACACAGGGAGCACCRTACCTTGTTTATACAATTGCTACACAAATGAGGCAAATGCTTAGTAGTTAGTGGTGACTTCCATACTGAGTTTTAGGAGTCCTAGGGTTCTACAGATGTGCCTGGGGAATCATACTGGATAGAGGGATGGATTCCTGTGAATGTAGTTTAGTCCATTCAATATATTTAGGTTTATTTATTTTATCTTGATTTTTAGGGATTGGTACTTAAATTTTTATTTTGTTTTCTACCATTGCAAAAATGTTTACATTCTTTTAGGATCTCACCTCTAAAATGAAGTATGTGCCTGGATGTTCACTTTCTATTCCCTTCCCATCACTTGTTTGCTCCTTCCCCTAAAGGCAAACATTTAAAAAAATCGTGTTGGCTTAGCCTCCCCTATTTTAATATAAATAAACAGGCATGCATATTATATAAATATTCTCTCGTCTGTCATAGATAAATTGGAAATATTATATACAATTTTTCAAAACCTTGATTTTCTTATTTGAATATATTTTGTGATCACTCCATGATTGTATATGAAGTTACTCTTCATTCTTTTATACAGATACTTATACACCATTGTGTGGCTGTACTATAATTGATTTAACGAGTCAGAAAGATTTCTAGTCTTTTGTTCTAACAACTTGTGTCTTAAAGTATAGTTTTATRCATACATATTTTCACATTTCTTTTTGCTAGAATATTCTGGGGGAAGATTTCTATATTTAGGATGACTGGATCACACATGTGATTTTGCTCAATATAGCCAAATTCTTCCACACAGGGCTCATAAGTCATCTTGCATTCCCATCAGCAAGGTWCATGAGAGTTTTTCTCTTGGCCGTTGCCCATTTTTCTGTAGAGATGATGTTATTTTTCAACACTACTTTGAAAGATCTTGACATATTAGTGATATGAAGACTTTGTGGTGTAAGTTACAAATATTTTCCCAGTTTGTCGTTTATCTTTGTACTTTGCTGTTGGTGCTTACCCTGGCCCAGGTTATAGAGGAATTACCATGTTATTCCAATGCTTATACAGATTCATTTTTCATTTGAAATCCTCAACCCAGTTGGAATTCATTCTGGTGTGTAGTACAATAAATGAATCCTTCAGAGTGTTTTCCATAGGGTCATCCAGTTATCCCAACAGTCACCTCTTACGCATTGATTTTGGATGTGCCTTTTCCCATTTCACTAAAATTTCATATCCAATTAGATCTATCTTATTCCACTTGTCAACTTTCTATTCATTTGATTACACCATACTCCATTTTAAATGGAGATATTTTATAATATGTTGAAACATTTTGTAGTGATTATGTGCCCTGCGTCTTTCCAAATTTCCTGAATTTCAATGATTTTATGACTTTTCTTGCATTTTCTCTTTCCAAATGCACTTTATAAATATCATACTTAGCTCCAGAGAAACACCTGCTGATAAATACACTTTAGGAAACCTCCTCTCTAAGTAATTTTAAACTTAACATCAAAGGTCTATATCAGGATCTCTAAAACTTTGCAAAAACACCTTCCAAATCTGCAAGTAACTTGAATCTGTTCAATTAAACAGCTATTCAACAGCTGTCATGAACAGCACCTCATTTTAGCTTTCCCCTCCATCCTAGCCATCCCTGCCCTAAACCCTCCCAGGTTAGCTTCCTTTCCTCTCACCTCTGATCTGTCCCAGCAGGAC